TCAAGTGACATTTGACATTTCCTTTGTCCATTATTAAATTCCAATCACAGTTCCAGGGTGAAAAGTAGCAATTTAGGTCACACAGGATCAGATTCCCTATATGGGTAAGAACCAGAGCACACACCAGAAGGGCAGTGATTAGACTTCTGGGATTACACAACCTTGAAAGCACCAAAAACTCACAGTACACCAGACATATCTGTTAAAGTAGCAGAACATAAAAGTTAGAAAATCAAGAAAGACATTCCACCACCCCAAAAGGCAAACAAACCTCAACTCTAACACAAAATCCAAAGTCAGAAAATAGACTGGGAAACAAACCAGCAAAACAAAAAGAGAAAGTAAAGAAGAGAAGAGGAAGAAAGAAAGAAAGAATCTGATCATAAAAAGTTACTATGTTGCTAGGGAAGCTCAAGACATAAACTGAGAAAACAATGACATGAAAATATCTATAAGCAAAACCTCAAAGAAAAAATGCAAATTAGACCCAAGAATTCTTAGACAAGCTAAAGAAAGAGAAACAAAAAGAACAAAATAATTTTAAAATCAAAAAGAAGTAGAGGAAAAACTGGGAAAATAAATGAGAATAATGCAAGAAAATAAGGAAAAAGGATATGAACAACTTGATAAAAGAGGCACAAAAATACTTTGAAAAAACCTCCTTAAAATCAGAATTGAACAAATGGTGAAAGAGATACAAAAACTCACTGAAGAAAATAACCTCATAAAAATTAGAATTAGGCAAGTGGAAGCTAACAACTCCATGAGACATCAAGAAACAATAAGACAAAATAAAGAGACTAAAAAATAGAAGAAAATATGAAATTATCTCTTGAGGAAAACAACTGACCTGGAAATAGATCATATATAGATGATTTAGGAATTATCATACTGCCTGAAAGTTATGACAAAAAAAAATTAGCTTAGACATCATATTTCAGGAAAATATAGGGGAGTATTCTGGGAAGATGACAGAGTAGGTCAGAAAATTCCAAGCTCTCCAGATTTTTCCCACAAACAAGACAAAATAGCATATCAGGGAAAATGTAGAGAGGTAAAAATAAACAAGAGTTGGGTCAGAACATAGTCCTCCTGGGACAACCAGAGAAGATCTGAAGAAAACCCATGAAGTGTAAATACCTCCAGGCTAGTTCTGTTGAGACAGCAAGCAGTGAGCCCTGGGGATTGCTGGGTTAGCAGACAGCCTTGGCCCCAGCCACAGGAATTTTCACCTCCTGGACAGTATGGGGAGTTGGGAGTCTGAGCAGGGGAAAATTGAGAGAACCTCTGCTGATAAGGGACTGCCAAGATGTGGCCCTGGGTGATAAGGAACCAGCACATGCTTGGTGAGTGCAGAAGCAATGGGGCAAGGAAGCTATTGGCTGTGGACACTTACAGAAGGGCAGAATTCTTGTTTTCAGTTCCAGGCCAGGGAGGAGAACTGAAGGAGAACTGAGGCCAGAGGCACCATCCACCATACCCCAGTAGAGGTGATTACAATTACCAGTTGCTATGAATTTAAAAAAAAATGAGCAGGCAAAGGAAAAAAGAACCCAAATATTAAAAAAAAAAAGTTTTATGGGAATAGAGAAGACTAGGGTTCATCTTTAGAGTAGGATACCTGTGGAAAAAAAAATGCCTCTCCTACCCCAAGGAGTAACATCAAATGATCACGTACCCAAAAACAATTTATAAAAAAAAAAAAAAAACAACTAAAGAGACTTTAAAAATCAAATAAAACAAAACAAAAAGAATGAAAAAAATAGAAAAAATGTGAAACATATCATAAGTCTGGAGAATAGATCAAGAAGAGAAAACATAAGATTAATCATACTACCTGAAAGCTCTGATCAAAAAAAGAATCTTGATGCAATAACATGAGAAATAATTCAAGAAAATTATCCTGAAGTGTTAGAACAAGAGGGCAAAGTAGAAATAGAAAAAAAAAATCCACCAATCATGACCTGAAAGAGATCCTACAATGGAAACCTACAGGAATATCATAGCTGAATACTAAAACCTTCAGCTCAAGGAGAAAATATTATGAGGAACAAGAAAAAGAAAATCAAATATGGCAGAGCCACAATTAGAATCACACAAGACCTAGCAGAGGCAACACTAAAAGACCGTAGGTCTTAGGTCTTATGAAATAGCAAAAGAACTAGGTTGTGGCCAAAAATATTATACCCAGCAAAGCTAAGAATAATCCTGAATGAAAAAATAAAGGCATTCAACAAATCTCCAGACTTTCAGAATTTTATTAGAAAAAGACCTGAACTCAGTAGAAAATTTGACATACAATATCCAAGAGAAATAAAGGTAAACATCAAAGATTAATTACAAGAGATTCAATAAATATAGACTGTTCACTTTTTATTTGAGGAAATGTAAATTGTATGTCTAAGATTGTGAGGAAGGGTATAAGTCTTCTAAATTCAGAAAAAAATAAAAGCTAGGGGGATAGGGTGGGGGTAGAAGATTAGAGAGGTATTTTATCATCAGATCTGAGTTAAAGAGAGAACAATATATACATTTAGAAGGGAATAAAAGTCTTAAATTCATGAAGAAATAAGAAGGTGAGGAAATAGAATAAGGGAGAGATAGAAGGGTGTCTAGATTAATGGGAATGGGATGAAGAGGGGACAACACATATATTTTCAAGGTTATAGAAATCTTCTAATTCAGATAGAAACAGGAGGGCAAGGGAAAAGGATGTGGAAGAGAAAATAAGCGAGGGATCCTTGGAGGGAGGGAGGTTAAGTAATAAGAGAACAAGGTAGCAGTTTGAAGTAAAGCAGAGGAGTCAGAAGGGATAGGAAATAAGAGATACACACAAACATAAAACAAAGATAAGTAATATAATTTATTAGGGAAAAAAGCAGGGGTAATAATCATGGTCTCAGACATAATTAAAACTAAAATGAATTTAATCAAAAGAGAAAGTAAGGGAAACTATACTATATGTCACCCATGCTAATGGTTATTGTTTTAAGCTATTTAAAATAGCTAGACAGTTTAAGGTTGCAATATTGCTGTGGTGTAGGAAATGATGACTTGGTGGATTTAGAAAAGTATGGAAAGACTTGGACTTAGGAAGGAAGATGTTAGCAATATTCAGAGAAACAAGACAAACAGGTATACTATGGTCTTACGTAGATACGTATGTATGTATATATGTATTTGAGTATAATTATAGATATATATGTATATGTATGTGTATATATATATGTTTGTAAAGGTATATGTGTGTGTGTATATATATATATATATATATATATATATGTATATATATGTGTGTGTGTGTTTATATATGTATGTGCATGTATATGTGTGTGTGTTTATATATATATATGTGTATATATATATATATATATGTATACACACACATATCCATCTGTCTGTCTATCTATGTATCTATCTAATTTCTATCTCTATCTCTTTAGCCAAGCTTAATTGCAGCATTCTTTGAGAGGAGAGGAGGAAGGGGGAAAAAAAAGCAAAAAGTGCAAAACAGAGAACAAAATAAAACCTACAAGTACATAAAGAAAAGATGGACAGCTCTGAACACAACGTATAGCATTTATTACATAGGCTTTCTTGAAACAGAAATTTATTGTCTGTTTTGAATTCTCTCATGTTCTGTTGAGCATATGGCAATTTTTTTTTCCTTTTTTCTCCTTTTGTACCATCTTTAAAATAAGGAAACTAAGATTCAGAAAGATAAAATAATTTGACCAACTCAATGATCTTCACAGGTTTCTTTAGTGGAAAATGATAGATAGATAGATAGATAGATAGATAGATAGATAGACAGACAGATATTTGTATATACAAATATGCACATATACTTATATATGAATATATGTATGTTATGTGTAATAGTCATTGTAATAGTTATAGTGCAATAGTATAATAATCCCTATGTCTGCATAGAAATATGAATATCCACATAGAGAGACATGCATATACACACAAGTAGTTAGCCTTCTGGAAATGAGCTTTGAATTCTACTGGCTGCCACTCAAGTGACAGACACAGAATCCTTTGCTAGGCTAATGTTGATGTCTTTTATAGCAGAAAAGGACATGTCCATGCTTGCATTCCCAAAGTTATAACTAGCATTATTCACACCCAGGGCAAACAGAAAAAAATGAAAACTCATTTTTTTTTTCCGATAAATTAAATTACGTCGAGGTACACTAGAGAAAGATGCTGGAACACAGAGAGGTCATTCTATGGAATAAAGGGGGAGTTCACTTGAGGCATGGCTGCTCAGGCCTGAGAGGAAACACATCTTCCACTGTCTCCCCTAATTAATTTTACTAACTAGGTTCATCCTTAAGCTCATTTATTTTAAAATATGCTGGTAGTAAGTGATGTTATTTTTGTTTTTCAGTCATTCAGTCATGTCCAGCTCTTTGTGACCCTGCATACCATAGCAAGACAATACTATCTATAGGGTTTTCTTAGCAAATATAATAGAGTGGGTTGCCATTTCCTTCTCTAGTGGAGAAGTACTGCTAGCATTCTCTAAATTTTGGTGTCCTGGGCAAAGTTCTATTTACCCTACCCAATTTATTTTTCTACTTCAGAGGCATAACCTTCTTGAAAGGAAGGCTAATTTGCCACTTGATAAAACATTGAAATAGGAATTTTGTATGTTTATAAACCTCAAGTAAGAGCATTTTTATTTTACCTAATAAAATGTGAACTTCTTGAGGGAAGTGTTTATCTCATGAGTGCAGAGACTATTTCATTTGTATATTTATACTTCCATCCCCTATTCTGGTGCCTAGCATATGGTAGGAAGAAATTTTCTGAATACCTGTTGATTAATTTTCTCTAATCAATTTAATTCAAAATAAATACACATAAAAATCAGTTCTATTAAGCCAAATATCCTCCCTCCAACCCCAGTGTTCTGTTCCCCCTGCCCAGATGTCAATAACAGAAATAGACTTTAATATACCAGATGCAAATCCAACATGTACATTGCTTACACTAAATCTATGGAAATTGTAATTATTTCTTCTTTCATGAAATGTTTTCTACTTCAATGGCTCCTTTCAATGGTAACTGAAATCATTTTTCCAGACTGGAGGGTCCTCACCACATCCAGATTTTTCAGTTAGTTTTCTTAATTTGAGAAGCAAATCAAACTTTTATCTCAGTCCACCTAAAACAGAACAAAACAAAACAAATAATAATGATATTTCCAGCTCTTCATTATAAATGGGACCCAGATTCACTTCAACTTATGGAAATGATTAATATCTTTGGCATAGCATAAATCCTCTAAGTATAATTTAAATTTTCTCAATATACAATCATTTGATTTTAAATAATTAGAAACCTTATACTTATGAGCTCCTAAACTTAAGCTTGCAATTCGAGAGTGATTTTTACCAAAATCTGTCAGATACTTCCTTTTGAATATTCAAATATCAGTGAAGCATATTCATATCAGAGTGACAATCAATGAATGCTTCATGTCTGATTTTAAGACTTTAAAGCTTCATTTCCAATAAATGTTAATTTGTTTATATTGCTGAAGGAACTGCTAATGTCAAAACCTGAAGGGAAAGAGACTCTTAATCATATACACAGCTTTTAAGAACCATAAAGAAATGCCAAATTAACTCTGTTAAACTCATTCTCAACTCTTTTCCAGTATTTTGAAGCTAGTTCAGCTCTTTGCACTATTCCAAGCATGACTGCAACATATAAGTTGTATCTACCCACCACTGTCCACATACCAAAACTCTGAGGTCTTGGAAACAATATGAAACTCAAATACAGACTTAAATTTAATTTCAACATTTACTGACTTTAGAAATACCTTAGCTTTCATATAAAAAATAGTAGCAAAGGCCCATTAAACATAAAACAAACAAATTCCTCCTTGGAGACAGTTCAAATTAAAATGCTTGTTGATATAAAAGCCCAAGCATCACAAGGTTTCCAGACTGTTTTTTTTTTCTCTCTCTCTCTCAAACTTACCAGATAATATACAACAGACATAGTCAATATCAGACTGGAGTAGAATCTTTAAACCAAGGAGTCATTTAAGAGTGGTTGTCAGCAAGAAATTTGAACATAAGCATTTCTTCAAAAATCTTTATTTCAGAAACAGGAATAAAATACTTAAAATACAATTAGTAATAATAATAAAAATAATACTTCTATCAAAATTTATATATAAAATCACTTGACATGTAATCATTTTATTTTATATCAGAAAAATGAGCATTTTCAAATCTGTACAATAATAAGTACATGACAAATAAATAAAGTCTATGGAAATAAAAATTAATTGCAGATATTAATTTATGAAATTACTAATGAGGATACCCTGGCCTACATAGCTCAGTTGAACCACCTTTCAAAGTGGAAACCAAGATAAGGAATGATGTAAAATGAAGGACTGGTGTTACATAAATTCTAAGGCCCCTTCTAATTTCATTATAATTAGAAGACAGGATGATACTATGAAGATAGTGTTGTATTTCAAGGCTGAAGATCTGGGTCTGAATCTTTACTTATGAGTAAGAATACATATTATTTGAATGATCCACAGGCAAATTACTTAACCGATAAGAACCTCTTTTTCCTTGCCTATAAAATGAAAGGGTTGAGAAAATGTCATTTAACCCTAGATGAATTCTAAGGTCCATTGTACATCTATATCTTTCATTTCAACAGCAAAAGCATAGAGACAATATTTCAGAGAGTACAAAAACAATCAGCTTTTGATGACTTTCTTTTGGAATGTAGGCTACCTTATATGGGCTATTCTAGTAGAATATAAATAATGTGCAGAAGAGACTATTCTATATTTGTTGTTTTATCCCCAGTGTTCATCACAAAGACTTCCATACTGTTGAAATCACAGGTCTGAATCTCAAATAAAACCATGTACTACTTGCCTAATGGGGTTCTTTCAAGATAAGGATTTGGAAAGCTGAAAAATGCCATATAGTCTTACATGTTTGCACGTATGCTTCTTTTATGAATGTATGTATAAATTCATATATATGTATAGATTTTAGAAAGAAATAAAAGAAAGGAAGAAGGAACAAAGGTAGACAGAGCATAACTAGGAACAACTTTGATTGAATAAATTGTTTTGACTACTCTAAATACCCAAATTAACTATAAAGGACTTATGGAGAAAGACACTATCTGCATTCAGAGAAAGAACTGATATATAGAAGTATGTATAGAATTATTTTATGTATATGTACCTATTTGTGTCTAATGGTAGCCATGTCTATGTTAGGTGGGGGGAAGAAAGAAAAAATAAATTTACATGAAAATTTTGTTGTAAATTTGAAAGAAATTTCAAGTTCTACATAGTGGATTTGCAGTTCCCATGAAATCATCTTTTTTATTATACTATATTATGGAAAAGCTTGTTTTATTCCATAAATTAAAAATCAAATTTTAAAACTGACAAAAAAAATATATTTTCAATTGAAGTAGCATGATTTGGTAGGGAAAAAGAAAACAAACAAAGAAACAAAAAACAGTGGTTCTGGAGACAAATGGCCTAGGTTGAAATACTGCTTCTGATATTTAGTAATCATGTTATAAGACCTTGGGCAAGTCACTTATTTTCCCTGGTCTTCAGCTTCCTAATTTGTCAAATGAAGAGCATTGTACTAGATAGTCTCTAAGTTATCTTCCATCTCCAGATGTCTGGTACTTCTAGGACATAGAACATCCTCCTGTATATATAACAGGATGAAAATCAGGTCTGGATGAAGATTTGGTGGCAAAGGTTTGCTACAAGATGTTCTGCCTTACATTTGATTTTGCTTTTTTTTTTTTTAGTGGTAAAGGTAGATGTTTCTGGAAAACCACTTTGCTTTTAGTGTGCTATGTAGGTGAAGGCCCTGCTATGAATTGCTATGGGATTGCTTGGATTAAGCCTGACCTAATTTGGATAGAGGCACCTTTCCTATTAAATGTCTTTATAGGCCCAAGTCTGGTGTCTCAGAAAGAAATGTCTGTATTTCTCATGATGGGTGGTCTCTTAATGAGCTATTCTGGCTCTGGCAGTTAAATTCCAATGGAAGTGTTAATAGTTGGTTATAACTTCTGGGAAAGACTTCCATCCTCTTGCACCCTGAGGAATAATACACAAAAATATGCATCAGGTATGAGGAAGGTTCAATGATTTGACACTAAATAGAAGAATACCCTGATTCCCCCTCATCTCAGAAGAAATGTCCATTTATTACCCAATATGGCAATGACCTAGCATTACATTCATCACTCAGTCCTCAGAAAACCAATGAACTTTGCTAAAGAAAGGGTAGGACCATGTGGTCATGTCACTTAATTCATTATGTGAGCATCAGGGTATGTATTATGGTAGCAGTCATAGACTTCTAGAGTTGGAGTTGAGATAGTGAATGCCATGCATGTAGGCTTATGAATAAAATGTGTGCTTTTATATGACATGCTAGAAAAGAGGAGCAAAAAACAGTTCAAGGTACTATATGGTTTTAACAGCTGCTGTTTGGGACAAAATACAGCTTTTTCAAAAACAAGATTTTGAATGTAATAATTTTTAGTCCATGGAAATAGTGTGATTTACAGTGTGGCTTAGGCACTTAATCATTGTGCTTAGCTTGTAGCTCAAAATTCACTATCCAAATTAATAAATGTTCTTAAATTATGTAGAGAAAATGTAATATACTGCATATTAAGGACTTGAAAATGCACATTTTGCTTAAATATGTACATGGAATAAGTAACTCATTCAAGCAAGAAAAAATAAACTAGTTGAGTTAAAAAAATACTAATATCTGTTTCCTCTTTATAGCCACAAAAATACAAGTAAAGAACAGGATCTTGTGATTCTGTTCATTAGGCCTGGGTATCTCAAACATGCTTTGTGTTTTATAGGGCAGAGTCTTACATGCTTTCCTATGGTTCCACCTCAATATGGAAGGATATCACAAAAGTATCATTGACATCTTATCATCACAAAGTCACCTAATCCTGGAAGGCTGGACATTCATTTTGTCCACCCCACACACACATACTTTACACACACACACACACACACACACACACACACACACACACACACACCCTCAATCAAATACCAAGCATACTTACATAAGAGGCCCAAGGAAGATGAAAATATAGGCATACCCATATCTCTAATTTTCCTGCAAAGGAATAGCATACTAGGTAAGATAAACTCATATCAGAGAATGCTCCCAGCAATACCAAAAATGGAATCATAGCTGTTCTAAACTGTTAAGACTCACCTGAGTGTCATTCTCTTTCTGAAAATAACCAAAACTAGCATAATAGTGGCCAATACAATACTACCAGAAGTAAGATCATTCTTCTCTGTCCTTATATCAGGCATGATATACATTATCTTCATATCCAAAATGATTCTAGTATCCCAAAAGACTTAGTACAGTTTTATACCTTAGTAGATTAAAATGGTATTAAGATTTTTGAGATATTAGTATACCTAAAATATTTATAAATCTTGGGCATTATGTTTTAATATGCATTGAATACATTTTGTATATTCTTTGTATTTACTTATTTGTCTACACAGACAAATGCATGCCCACTATTCCCCCCCACCAATACAAGATTTTTGAAGGTACAAATTACGTTTTTTTTTTTTTTAGGAGATATGGGTGACTTTTTTTTTTATCAATTCCACTGAGCTCAGTACCTCCCTACATTATAGACACTTAATGAATACTTGTTGGAGGAATAACACATTTAGGGGAAGGATGATAATCTAGCTTTGTTATATGGCCAGTTTAAAGTGCTGATATGTCACCAAAGAGAAAGAAGAGGGAATTGAGATGCAGACCTAGAGATCAAAGATAGGTCATTGATAAAAAAAAAAAATCACCTGAGCTTTTTTCTTTTTTTTAATTTTAAATTATTTATTTTTAGTTTTCAGTATTTACTTACATAAGATTTTTAGTTTTAAATTTTCTCCCCCTCCCCACCCCCCTCCCCAATACAGCATGTAATCTGATATAGCTCTACTTATACATTCATATTAAGAATATTTTTACACTAGTCATGATGTATAGAAGAATTAGAACTAATGAGAAGAACCACAAGAAGAAAAAATAAAACAAAACAAGAAAAGAAATGGAAAAGAGAGGAGAGGAGAGGAGAGGAGAGGAGAGGGAGAGAGGAGAGGAGAGGAGAGGAGAAGGAGAAAGAGAGAGAGAAGAGAAGAGAAGAGAAGAGAGAGAGAGAAGAGAAGAAAGAGAGAGAAGAGAAGAGAAGAGAGAAGAGAAGAGAAGAGAAGGAAAGAGAAAAGAAAAGAAAGAAAGAAAAGAGGAAGAAAGAAAAGAAAAGAAAAGAAAAGAAAAGAAAAGAAAAGAAAAGAAAAGAAAAGAAAAGAAAAGAAAAGAAAAGAAAAGAAAAAAGAAAAGAAAAGGAGAGCAAGTAGTATATTCTTTCTGCATTAAGACTCCATGGTTCTTTTTCTGGATGTGGATAGCATTTTCCATCATGAGCCTTTTGGAGTTGTCTTAAATCCTTGCTTTGCTGAGGAAGAGCTAAGTCTAATCAAAGTCAATCTTTGCACAATGTGGCTGTTACTATGTACAACATTTTCTTGGTTCTGCTCATTTCACTCCACCTGAGCTTTTTTCTTGCTCCTCCATGCACCATTCCCCTAGACATTGCCATCTTCACTTTTCCTACATTCTCTGGACCCCTAAACCTCCAGACACCTTACACTGGGGTGTTTAACTCTCTCAGCTTGGAAATTACAGCCATGCAATATAAGCCTTCCACAGCCATGCTGCCCATTTCACCATGCCAAATCCATGCTGTCTCATTCATTGCTATATGTGTACTCCCCACCACCCACAAACACTCCTTACCTTAAACATGTATATTTCCAGAAATGTAATCATATCAATATTTTCGCTGCTCAATTATATGTGTATGTTTGTATATACATACATACATACATATACACACATGTCTTATTAACCATCCCCGTGATTACCCAAATCAAAACAGCCCTCTCTGGCCTTCACTTCCATATTTGGGTTGTTATCCTTCTTAGAATATTAGTTCCTTGGACTTATAAAAGTAAAGAACTGATTTACATTCTGTTTGTATTCCCAGAGCTTAGCACAATGTTGTAATGCTTAATAATTATTTTTTTTATTCATTCAAGATATAGATTTGGCAGTCATCTCTGTAGAAGTAAATCATTAAAGGCATGGTAGTGAATGAGTTGATTGCCAAGGAAAAGAATGTAGATTGAAAAGGGCAAAGGACTGAGGACAAAACTTTGGAAAACAACCACCTCCAGTGGTCAGGAATAGGATTACCAAGTAGTATAGAAAGTAGAGAAAGAAAAACAAGACAGAGAAGAAGGTAATAACGAAATGGTAGTATCTTTTTAACTAAGGAAGGACTTGAACAATAACATTCTTAGGGAAGGAAATGCTTGACTTGGATTACTCAAATGTTTCTATTCATATGAAGTTATTGACTTCACGTTGAGTTTGCTGTTCACTCCATGTGTGTTATTTGAGCTATGCCATATTTATTGGATTGTTTAAAAAAAGTTCTTATTTTACAATTCATGTAATCACATCAAAAAAAAAAAACTTCTTAATTATTTTCTCCAAAGAAAGATAAGTTTAAGTAGTGACTGTTGGAGATTTCTATATATCTTTTCTTCTTGAATTTGGATACTTCAATTACCAGACAAGGGCTTTGGATATTTATGAGTTGTTCTAAAACTGCTTTGTTAAGTGAAATTTGAGAGAGTAAAATTGGATGAGGAAGAAAAAAACCCCCTCAATATAATCTATTTCTTAGTACAATGCATTGCACATAGTAGGTACCTAATGAATATTTATTGAATACATTTTAATCATGATTATACTTTGGTGATATTTTGACTTCTTATTTAACTTTAATATGTGTAAACTGTTGTCCAAAAATACGTACATTCAATTTTTAAAACAAACGCTATAGCAAAAGACAATCATTGTGCATTAGCCTCTCCAACTAAAGTTCTCCTTTGATGTCTAATTACGATGTTGTGGTATCACTTTTTACCATCAGTCATTTCTGAATATTACCCCCCTACACACTTAGGGTTGTATATCCAAGAAAAAGCAATAGCTCTAGTGACTAATGTCTGCTCATGTCAGCATATGTGTGTGTGTGTGTGTGTGTGTGTGTGTGTGTGTGTAATGTCCCTCATTCCCCATCTTTCCAAGAAAGAGAGGGAGTTATAGCTCTTTTAAGAGGCAGAAATCATGTTTTTTTTTTATTTACATTATTGTATTAAATTTATGTATGTGCTTTCTCAAGTATCTGTTTCTTTTACTCAAAATCAATTAATACAATTCTTCCCTCATTTCTCTGCAAGCTTCACTTATAATTTCTTAAAGCACAATCATATTCCATTAATTTACCACAGTTGGTTCACATATTCCCCAATTACTGGAAACTCCCTTTATTTCCAGTACTTTATTGTTGTTATTGTGAATATTTTGATATTAAAAAACCTTTCTAACTGTCTTTGATCTTCCTACTCACTATCTACATTCTTGACAATCTTGCAAGTGACCTTACCATTCAGGTAAGAAACTATGACATGGATGTTATAACTTTTTCTTGTTTTGTGCTACTGTCCTTGGACTCCATTTTTCTGAATGGTCACTATATCACACATCTTATTATTTCAGACAAGTTTCAGTCATGCTTCTCTTCACTCCCAAAACTTATAACATTTCCTGGGTTTCATGCCCAGCAGCCTTGTGTTATGGGTATATCTTCCCACTCCCCTCTCCTCTAGTTTTTGAACCACGATCAAATCAACTCTTCCATTGTTCTTGGGAAATGCATGTCAAATTCCCAAGGACTTATGATGAAAAAACAAACAAACAAAAGAGAGTGAACTCATGAACTCTGAGTGCAAATTAACAAGCATATTTTTTTTTGCTTCCTTTGGAAATATGGTACATATAGAAATATGTCTTGCATAACTTGACCAGTATAATTGATATCATATTGCTTGACTTCTCAGTGGGCAGGGTAGGGGTGGGAAGAAAGGAAGTAGTTTGTAACTCAAGATTAAAAAGAAAAAGAATGTTAAAATATAAATAAATAATGCATTAAAAAAGAAACTGTAGGCCAATATAGTCCACCATTGACCTTCTTAAGTTCCTGGCAATATTCCAGACCACAGTGCCCCTCCTGAAACACCACTCCCTGATATATCCTTTCCCATCAAAATGTAAGCTCCTTGAAGGCAGAAACAACTGTTTTTTGCATTTGCATCCCCAGCACTAAACATAGTGTTTTGTACATAAAAATCAGATAATAAATTCCTTTTCCTTCCTATTTTCCAATTTTCACTAGAATGGTTGATACAGCTCCATTCCACTATCATATAGTGAAATAAAGCCCTGGAACTGAAATGACTAGACCTGTTTTTGAACCCTGTCTTCCTAGCTTTTCTACCTTAGACAAGTCACGTCTCTTGTTTTATCTTCTCTTCTGCGAAGTAACTATATTTGACTAGATAAACTCTCTTCCAGTTCTAATTTTCTTTTATTATGTGTGATAGTCTCAATACAGTGATTTAGATAGGAAAGGACAAGTTATTTATTATCGTTTGAAAAGGGCTGTAAACTAGTTTTTCTTAAATTGGACCTTGATTGGAGGGTGGAATTGAGTGAAATACTTGAATTAAAGGTAATGGGAATTTTAATGAATCACATCAATTCTTTAGTTTCCTTCCCTGACTTCCTTCTTTCCTTCCTTCACGGTCTCTTTCTTTCCTTCTTTCTTTCTTTTCCTCTGTTCTTTTATGTTGCTGTCTCTGTCTCTGTGTCCTTCCTTCTTCCCTACTTTCCTGTTTTTATTCCTTCTTTCCTTCCTCTCTTCTTCTATGTCACTATCTCTGTCTCTGTCGGTCTCTGTGTTTCTGTCTCTATCTCTCTCTGTCTCTCCTTTTTCCCTTGAGATCCTTTTTTTTTTAAAATAAAATATAATTTCTTGGTTGAGCTAAAATATGTAACAAGTTGTTACCTAAATACAAAAATACTCGGGGGAAAAAAATATGTAACAGCAACACAGTGAAAGAAATTTTCAGGAAATTTGTTTAAAGTAGGCAAGTGTGCCAAAGCACAGTAAACTT